GCAATTATAGTTGCATCCACACCTGTGTCTATCAGGCCTTCCAGAACAATGTTATTAATTTGTACTCTAAGCTTTGGTCTTTGTTCATTTATGGAAGTCTGCCAAAATATTCATTTTATGGTGTTTTTTTTTGTAATTTTTGATCCATCTATCAAGGCTGTTCTATTGTCCAGTGCAGTATTATTATTTATATTAGACACTGGTTTATTTAATTGTCCTAGGGAGGAATTTCCTCCACAGTGGCTGGAAATGTTTGTACCACGTTTCATTTGGGGGCCTGCAAGTGGCCCCTTGAGGCATTTTCCACTAGTAAAGGGTTGTCTCATATGTCTCTTTTTGATTTGTGCATTCCTTGGTCCAATGTTAACCTTTGCCACATCTTCTGCATAATCCAGAATATTGGGGTCTCCTGTTTGGGTTATTTCTAGAGGAAGCATTGCTTCTAGGAACACCCTGTGTACAATTTTTTCTTATATGACCTGGTGTACCACAGTTAAAATATTTGGCAGCTTGAGGCCTCCTTCCACCTTTGGAAATTGCCTCTCCTATCCAAGCCTCATTACCATAATTAAGAGACTCAATACTATTTTTATACTGAATCCATTCCTCTAAAGATGTTAATCTGAGCTTTAAAGGTGTAAGTATTCTTTTGCATTCTTTATTAGCATTATCAAAAGCCAAAGACTGAGTTAATATTTGTCTTAATTCTTGGTCATATACTGCCTTGTGTATAACCTTGGCCAGTCTTTGTAAAAAAATCAGTAAACAGTTCTTTGGGCCCCTGGAAAACCTTTATATATATCTCAGTTGGTTTCCCTGGTTCTGGAATTCTCCCTACCCCCAAGCATTTAAAGCTGCTGTACAGCATAGGGATAAAGTATCCTCACCAAAAGTAGATTGTACATTTGTATCAGTGAAACCACCCTCACCAATAATTTGATCTTGGGAGATCTCAAAACCTCTAATCTTACCTTGCTGTTCAATCCTTTAATCTCTTCTCTCAACCAGCTTTTCCATTGTAACTGCTGGCTGTATTCTAATGCAGCTGAAACTGATTCCAATCATCTGGTGTGATTCTATTTTTAGAGGACCATGTACTTAACATCTGTTGACCTTAGGTAACCACAACCTCCTTAATGTGTTTTAAATCTCTCATATGAATAGGTTGCCAGATATATTACACATATTCCTTAGGATGTTTATCATCTGCTGGCTTCTCATGGACAGTGATAAGCCATTTTATGAAAGCCATCTGGTGATGTTATGACTTGTATGGCTTTGACCTTCTTATTAGTTTCCTTATTATCCTTCCTGATAGACTCCTCTAGGGCTTGAAATCTATTAACTATCATCCTTTGTAGTGTTTGAACCTCCTCTGTTGTGAAGGATTCTAGAGATT